GTGGTAAGCGTTTTGAGTCGATTGAATCGGTAAAAGAGAATTCGCCGAAGGAACTAAAAGCCATACCTGCACGGGCCTACGAAAAGTGTATGGAAGATTGAGTTAAGCGTCGGCATATGTGTATCGCTTCAAAAGGAGCATAATTTAGAATAAAATTTTAAATTTGTGCGTTTTATTTACAAAATCCGGGTACTTTTTGAGCTGGAAATATAATCGCTAGATCTGCAGCAACATCTGTAAATCTAATTTTCTATCAAAAATATTAGAAAGTATGTTTCATTTTTTCCAGGTTTTTTAATTGATAGATTTGTTAGAACTCCCAAATCAGAAAACATCTTTAATGTCTTCAAAATGATCCTAAAAGCTTTTTGTTCTTCTTTATTTACAATATCAACATAATTATCATATCTTATTTTATATATTTTAACATAATATTACTCACTTAGTTGATTCAATATGCCAAAATTCAGGCCATTGCTTCAAAGTAAGCCTCAGTTGTCTGACTGTTATTTTCGGGCAGTCATTAAGTATTTGTCTATGGAGTAGTTAGACATCCTTTGAAGATGTGTAAAACCATTCCACCGCATTGCGGATTTGATCGAAACTAATATGACCAGTAATGAATAATAGGGTGCATTTTTCTATATTTGAAGACATCTGCATAGTGCTTACCGTTTAAGCCTTGGTCTCCACTGCATACGAAGAAAGACGTCTATATAAGTGTTATATATACTTTCTTTGCTCACTTGTTAATTGCATTTATAACATTTTTTGGCATCTGGTGATAAATTTTATGACCTACTTTATGCATTCGGGTTTAATTACTAATTTACTCCATAGCAATTCTCTAGTTATAGTTAAAGCTTTAAACTTTCACAAATAAATGTAAAAGATGCACATAAATGTACATCTTGCTCATACGTTCGACAAACACAAGGTAAGCACCGTCACTGTCTGTTGGTTAACATGAATATTACTGGCAGTGCAACCAATACACAAAAATATTTGCTCCAATAAAGCAAATATTTTTTACAGGCGTGCAATTTAAAAATGTTCCTGACTTTTTGATTACATTCCATAATATAGAGGATATCAATCACTAGTTCTTAGTTAGTTAGTTAGAATGTTGTATCATTAAATTAATTATACCTACACCTAGTGAAGTTATAAAAACTCTTATAAGATATATCTAATACTTTATCCCAATCAATCATTTTAATATTTTCATACAATATAGTGCTTAATTCATGAGTAGTTTTGAATTAAATAAATCATAAGAACTTAAAAATATAATATGAAATTTTAAAACTCTTTCTGTTTTAATTCGATATCTTATATTAAAGAAATTAAAAGAGCTTTATCAGGTAATTATTTATATATACTTTATATAGTTGAGAGCTTATAAGTACTGCTAGTAAAAACCATTCTATGCGATCCTTACATTATTGTAAAAATTGTTATGATATTTCTTTCCGTAAAAGTTAATTAATCATTTATTTTATTTACTCTACTTAATAGGATCATTCGTGCCGTTCAGAAGGCGTTGATTTGGCACGTGAATTGGATTATAAATCAGCTGCAGCTTGGGTAGGACATCCTTACTTTGATGTGATTGATAATTCAACTGATTTTGAAACAAAAATGAATCGTATGATTGAATCTGTTTGCCAAAAAGTTGGAATCGATATTGGTGATCGTTTGCGTGCTACCTCAAGAAAACTCAAATTTTTGGGTAATTTAATAATAAATTTTTAATAATTTTATACTAAATTTTATTTTTTAAATTTTAGTTGCTATTCTACCGCCAGAATCCGAATTTCCACCGTTTCAAGACTTTGATGTTGTACATCACTATCTACAATCCTCAGGACCTAAAGTACAAGCACGCCTTCGTAAACGTGGTCAAAAGAATCACTGGAGCTATATACATACTATCCGCCGCCCCAATGTGCATGGTCAATCACGCATAGAAGTTAAAACACAACTAACGCATCGTGACTATATCAATTTATTGGCACAACGTGATGATGCACATTTTACTATTTACAAAAAGCGTCGTTGTTTCCTTATTAATAATCAATATTTCCAATTGGATATATATAAGGAACCCAGCCATCCACGGTATTTATTATTTTATGTCAATCTAACATAAATATTATAATTATAATTTTATTCATTGCAGTTGCAAAGGTTTGATACTTTTGGAAACGTATTCGTCTCTCTCTGGTGAGGCATTTAAAAATTGTATGCCAAAGTTTTTGAATATAGTCAAAGAGGTTACTGGTGATCCAGATTATTCTATGTTTAATTTATCCTTAAAGGAAGATTGGAGTAAAACGAAAAAATTTTGTCATGCCTTACAAGGTGAATAAAACTTTTAATTTTATATTTAAATATTATTTAGTCATACTATATTCGTATTCATTTATTTAACTATTGTGAACTATCGCGGAACTTTTTCTTTAAACGTCATACAATATTTGTCTGAATTTTGTTGGCTGTTCAATGTGTACTGGTTTTAGTTATCGAAGTTGTGAGGAATTATTCTAACACATAAAAAAACTGAATGATTTTATAAGAAGATTCGTAGTCTTCCTAGTGCGGCAAGAACTGTCCTATCTCAATTGAGATCAGAATATAGCCATGTGCTTAACAGTTATTTGTCACGTATTAACGCGTCCATTCCTAATGTGTGCCCAAACTGTAGCTCCACGCCCCATGACGTCGTCCAACTGTTTTCTTGCCCCAATGCACACACTAATTTAAGTCCAATTGACCTTTGGACTAGTTCCCTTAAGGTAGCTAGGTTTCTTCGGCTGGATCCTGGTTAGTTTCAAATTATACCCCTCTTTCCCTTCCTTCATTCCCTGTACCACAACCCCACCTAACCACTCCTTTACCCATGTATTCGTCTTGTTATCCTTTCATGTTATCTGCTTTCAGGTCCCGGCGGGTTACAACAACAACATAAGAAAATTCGAGGTTCCAAAAGTGGGCACGTTGAAGTCTGGGACACATTGTTGTTGTTGTCGTTACTCGCTGGTGAACGGCACTCGGTCGAGTGGGTCTGAGACGTAAACCATGCCGGTCTTAAAACCTGGGAAACATGCATCTATCTTAACGACCAAGCGATGAGTGCACTAGCAACAATACATATCACAGGCCATATAATCGCATTTGTTGTTGCTATAGATCGCGCCGATTGCGTAGCCCCATTGGGGTGTGGTGAATTGGTCGTAGCAATTGATGAATGGCTCCCTGACGTCGACCCGGCCGTTCTTAGGACCATTTGTATCTTAAATTCTTTTCTTGTCATATTACTTAATTGTTATAGTCTAACAGGTATGATTTCAGAAACGGCAACATATATGATTGCATGTAATATTCTTTACAATATACAAAAATCAGACCATGTAAGATTCTTATCATAAGAATCTTAAGATTCTACATAGATCTTATAGGAAGATCTATGTAGATCGACATAGTATATAGTAAGTTAAAAAAGGTCAATCGGAATGGTTTGTTTTTATTTGTATTTTAAACCCGTCGCTCTTTAAGAATGGTCTTGTTGGTTAAAGCTTCAATTGTTTAAAAAAAAAACAATTTTAACTAACAACAAAATATTTATCTGTGGAAAAAGTTAATTTCTAGTAAAACTATTAAATGGAAATTGGAAATATTCAATATTAATAATTAAAAATTTTTTACTTCTGTTTCTGGAGATTTGCAGTTATATTATTTCAGCTCATTTTTGTTTGAGTTTAAGTCAAAACTTAAAATAAAGCCGTGACCAATATGACCAGAGTATGTGACAGTGGGATTATCTACTAATCGGTGCTTGGGTTACTTGGGAATAACGCTTTAATCAAGTCTTCAATATAGCATACTTGTTCGAATAATTCGTATCTATTATAAACGTAATTATTTGTTGATAGTAAATTTGTTAATGTTAGCATAAGGCAAATTTTTTTCTAGAATTCAAGAATGGTATGAACTACTCTTATTTGAAAACAATTTAAGCTATTGAGCCCTTAGACAGGTTTATGTTCTCTAAGATAAATATTATTAGAAATAAAAAAATGCGGTATGTTTGCTGAAATAGACTGTGATCAAACAAGTATTCAGTGTAGCATTGTTATTATTTGTGGAATTTAACCAGTGAATATATGTGGAACAAATTGCATATAAGACTATATTTTCATTTAGGATAGAAATATATTATATATTAAATCCTTTAACTCCAAGGAAGAGCATAGGGCCGCAATAGATAGAAATGTCATAGAGGAATTTTGAGCTCCTTAGTTTTTTTCCTAATAAATATATGTTCTTAATGCACATATATTGCTATTAGGTTAATTAATTAATTTTTTTTTAAATCAGAAATAAATGAAAATTTTTAATTAATATTTTTGATTTACAGATGATGGCGCCTCCGCTCAAAAATCAAAACAAACAAATGGAGTTTCGAATAAGCAATTGGTACTTAACGGCTATGCTAAGGGTTAGTTTAATTTAAAATTTATAATAAGAACCTTTAAACTTAAATCGAATCATTATTCGAAATCTTAACTAGTGTTTAAATATAAATTATTCAAAAAAAAAAATTTTTTTTCTATTTTTGGACTTTAAAAATACAAATTTTAAAATGAGAGCAGAATTCGGTGAAATCAAGAAACAAAAATTAGATATAGTCTATTAAACCGAATACTATAATGAAGCAAGATGTAAATCGTTTGATGTCTCAAAATGCTATAATTTTCAATGAATTGGACCTAAGTACTAAATATGACTATAAATGTAATTAGAAGGACCTCCCTTGTTTGATATTTTTGGTATGATTGTCAATAAGTTAGTGATTGTATGTAAAAAGTACTTAAATGAAAATGTTACGTGACTTTTATTTATTTTTTTGTTAAATGCAATTTTGAATGAAATATATTTTTGGCTTGAAACTTACTTCAGTTTTAAATATTTTGAAATATTTTGCAATTTAGTAAATAAGTAAAATTAAAATTTTCAATGTTAGTAAAGAAACAAAATTTAAAATATATATTTTGAAGTAAAAACTTTGATGCAAAAATATTGTTGAAAACTTAAGTAACACAACAGAACAGTATCTTTTCTATTAGTGAATTGTATTATAATAACAACTGAATAATAAAAGCAGCTTTATTTATTTACATGAAGATATTTTTATTTTAATATAAAAAAGAAAATCAAAAAAATCTATGTGTAATTTGTAACTGTGTATGTAAAATAAAAATAAACGAATTGTTTAGAGACAATTCAAAAATATTTAGAAGCTTTTTAATTTATAAAAGTAATTCAAAAAAAGAATAACAACAAAAAAACAATGTTATAAACTAATTATAAGAGACTACTTTTACCACAACAATACGAAATGATCTTTTACTAGAGATATTTTAAAATGGTTTTTTAGTACGGGTCCAGATATTGTATCTCTTGCATTACTTTCTAACATAAAGACTAATCAAATTCAAGGTTCGGAGTGTTTCGGTGCCATATCAAATAAAATTGTCATCGAAGATCTATATATTCAGTTTTAGGTTTGTCGTTTTATAATATGGTTCATATAACAGGCGCTGAACTTGTTAATAATACCAGGTGTACCGGTATGAAATGAGCGTTTTTTGGTGAAAATAAAACACTAATTATTAATAGGAAAGTAAAAAACATTTTATTCAAAGTATTGGCACACATTTCTACACATTTTGACCACCTTTCTGGCAATTTGTGGATACCACGCCAAAAAAATTGTTCGTCTTTTAAAGCAAACCAACCAGTCACCCAATTTTTGACCTCCTCGTAGGAATCAAAGTGCTGCTCAGCCAATGCGTGTCCCATCGATGAAAACAAATGGACAAATGGTGTTTTGATTGCATCCTGAACCCGTTTTGCTTTGTGTGCAGGTGCATTGTCATCGACCAGAATTACCTTGCCGTGTCTTCTGGCCCATTCTGGTCGTTTCTCGATCAATGTATGGTTCAAATTTATGATTTATTGTTCATAGCGACCAGCATTGACGGTTTCACCAGGTTTTAGGAGCTCGTAGTACACCACACCTTTCTGGTCCCACCAAACACACAGCATTGTCTTCTTGCCGAATCGATCTGGTTTTGCAGTCGATGTTGATGGTTGATGGTTGTCCCGGATTAACCCATGATTTTTTCCGTTTAGGATTCTTAAAATAAATCTATTTTTCATCGCCAGTAACAATCCGATGCAAAACCGATTTTCTTTCGTGTCTTTAAAGCAAAATTTCACAAGTGTTTTTTCGGTTTTCCATCTGTCTTTTCATTCAATTCATGTGGCAACCATTTTCCAATTTTGGATCTTTCTCAAGAGCTTTTAAACGGTCAGAAATTTGTTTGTTGTGCAACATTAACATTTCTGCCATTTGCTTTTGACCCAAAGTGTCATCTCCATCCAATATCGTTTGCAATTCGGCGTCTTCAAACTTTTTTGGCGGTCTTCCACGTTCTTCATATCTCACATCAAAAT